TACTTGTCTGAATGTTTTCATATGAAGGATTTGGGGCAATTAAAATATTTCTTAGGGTTGGAGGTGGCACGAAACTCAAAGGGAATCTTCTTATGTCAACGAAAGTATGCCTTGGATATTTTGACCGAGACTGGCATGCTTGGAGCGCGACCGGCGAGCACACCCCTTCCTGCGAACCATCATCTTGCTCTCGCCCAAGGCCCGGAACTTCTCCAACCAAGCCAATACAGACGTCTTGTTGGTCGGCTTATCTATTTGACAATTTCTCGGCCTGATTTATCCTATGCAGTGCACACTCTTTCATAGTTTATGGGGACCCCCAGACAGGAACATTGGGATGCTGCTCAACATACTCTTCGCTATTTAAAATCTCGGCCTGGTCAAGGACTTTTTCTTCCCGCTGATGGGGATTTGTCTCTCACGGCATTCTGCGACTCTGATTGGGCAAGCTGTCCGCTCACTCGTCGTTCGGTGACAGGATACTTTATAAAGCTTGGGGATTCACCGATTTCGTGGCGAACAAAGAAACAACATACTGTTTCCCGCTCATCGGCTGAAGCTGAATATCGTGCGATGGCTACTACTGTATGTGAACTCAAGTGGTTGCGGTCTCTTCTTTTGTCGTTTGGAATTACGGTGCGCCTTCCTATGAAGTTATTTTGTGATAGTCAGGCTGCGATTCACATAGCAGCAAACCCAGTATTCCATGAGCGCACTAAACACATCGAGATTGACTGTCATTTCGTTCGGGATGAGATTCAGCGTGGCATCCTTCGCACCATGCATATTACTTCGGCTGATCAACCTGCTGACCTCCTGACTAAAGCATTGCCCACTGCGCCTTTCATGCATCTGTTGTCCAAGCTGGGTACTCGTAATCCACACGTACCCGCTTGAGGGGGGGTGTTACGGAACGGGAGTTCGTTCCTTGGCTTGCACGCATACTGGAAGGCCGAATCCCTTGAGGATTTGGTTTAAGTGATTTCCTAGTTTATTTTGGTCTTGTACTCTTTGTTTCTTAGTTTACTTTGTTTCCTTCTAGGATTTGGATTCTTGGCTTATAAATAGGGTAGGAGTTTTCTATATTCAGGAGAACCTTTGGAGAAATAAACATAAATTCTTCCCAATACTTTTATCACATGTTAGATAATGACTATTTAAATTGATCTTTTATTAACATAAGACATTATTAATATTCATTTGTAATTATTTTGGATGCTCTAATTTTCAAAGACATGCATTTTTAAAATTTTTCATTGCGAAACACTAGAATAAATAAGATCTGTCCTATTTGGGAAATAGTGATATGTTTACGTCTCATTTATGTAAAATACTCATACTTAAATTCTTCTACTCTATAATATTTTACAACTCCTTTAAGTTTTATCCAATTCCTTTCAGTTTCTTTCAATATTTAATCCTGAAATTTCAATCTAAAAGAACATGGTCTTAGCGTATTTGTCAAATTTAGTTTTTTTTGAGTGAAACTGGATGAATTTTAAAACGTTGTTTTGAAATATCACAATTTTCTAATCTATGTTCTTATATAAATAAAGATATTCATAGTCAATCTTTCAAAAAATATATATTTATAATCAAAGTGTTGTATTGCAGACCGTGAAAAGTCAATTAGAAAAAAAAGGGATAATGAGCATATTTTTTACTTAGGCTGGACTTTAATACAAAAAATTCCAGCAACAATAAAATTATCTTAGGTTGGACTGTTATATAGATATATGAACTTAATTAGTACGTGAAGGAACGATAAAGATAAATGGCATGCTAATTAATTATTGTAAGCATGGGTTAGTTAGAACGTGAAGGAACGATAAGGATACATGTCATGCATTAATTTATTGGACCATGTGCTAGGGTGCCACCACATGGGTGCTACCATGGGTGCACCCTAGCATTTTCCTAATTTATTACGCAAGCATGGGTTAATTATTAGTACATGAAGTAACGATAGGGATGAAAGTATACTTTCATTTGTCATTATTATGTAAATGTTCGATATTATTCTCTCTTCCGGATATTATTAAGTACTCATACTATTTAGAGAATAAAACAATTTAAGTGTTATTCAAGAAAATGACTTAAGTTTTAGTGTTATTTAGTACAAATATTTCTTAATTTATTACTAGGTATGTATGCATGTGAGGTACATATTTAGCTAGGGTCACGGCCCTATACTTCCTCTGTCCTTCAAAAATGACACAATTCACAAATTAAAAATTATAGAATTTTTTGTTTATTTATTCATTTTCATTGATTGTTCGATAAATTAAAATATTTTTATTACCTCTAAGCTTGTTTTGAAAACTTTTGATGTAGTTTTAAAAATGTAAACTTTATTTTTGTATTTTTATATCAATTTTTAAATAAAATAAAATGGCAAATATTTCACTTTGTTTTGCATAATATGAAAAAAAAATTGAGACGAAGGGAGTATATGTTTCCTATAAGTACTCCCTCTATATATCCTTAAATTTTTTTCTGCTTGCAGCGTTACGATGTTGGATTGAAAGTATTTTAAAAACCATTTTATATGAAAATTGATATAAAACTTAAAAAATAAAAAGTTACATACTTAGTTTTTGAAAACTCTATATAGTATATCAAAATATTTACAAGAGTAAAAATGACATTATTATACTCCTTCCGTTCCACAAAACCCTTCCTCTTTCGTTTTTTTTTTTGCTTTCCACAAAACACTTCCACTTTCTATTAAAAAACCACTTTTACCCTACTTTTTCATACCTTACCTATCACATCATACTTTTTCACTAATAACCAAACTATCGCATCTTACTTTTTCCCATCACATCAGGGGCAAAATTGGAAAGTCAACCAAAATTACACTTTTCTTATATTTCTCAAAAGTCAAACTGGAAGGGTTTTGTGGAACGGAGAGAGTATTATTTTATCAAGTGAACATCAAAATTAGTCAATTAAACAAAGTGAATAAAATACGCTCCCTTCGTCCCAAAAAGAATGTCACATTTCCTTTTTCAACTATCACGGGAACTTTTATTTATTTGTACGCTTTCATTGATTATTTGATAAAATAAAATATTTTTGACATATTTTATTTCAAAAAACTTTTGTGGTAAACATATTTTGGGAGGAGGGAGTATGACCTTATGAACAAAGTAATGTGAAAGCGTGGATTTTAAGTAGTAGTACATACTAGGTAATAAGGGGTGATAAATTGTGAAACTAAAAACAATGCAAAAGAACTATATATGTCTTGCTCATGAAAGACCCAAGCAAAGGTAAATACAACAAGTCAACGACGACCCAAGCTAGCTAGCTGTGTGCAAAAGCCAAAGGTATTTCATTAATAATACCTTTGTATGTTAAGATGTAAGAAAATGCCCAACCAATGTATAAACCATGCATATTTTCTCACTGACTCGTACCAATACGAGTCCATTATAGAGGTGGCCATCTCCGGATATTTCCTGTGGGGCGGCGGCATGGGCCGGGAATACAGAGCTCCTCTGCTCACACCAAGCAAAAACGAACGCGTCCAGGACTCCTCCGCCTCGCTGGGGTAGACCCGATGCCGGTAGGCGAGGCGGCTGAGGCACGGGTAGAGCAAACCGGAGAACTCCTCCGCAATCTCGTGCCGCCACCTGTCCATACAGGTGCCCAGCAGGGTCGTCTCCAATGCGGCGGTCATCCGGGAGGCCAAGAGAGATGCGTCCCCCCTGATCTCGCGCAGCATCTCCCTGTACCGTCGCCGGGTGGGGCCCTCAGGGTCCCGGAGCCTGCCCGAGACCGCGCTCAACTGCCCGTCCTCCGCGGCCATGGCGTGCCACTCCCGACACACCATCCCCGCCCTCGCCCTGTCCTCCAAGGGCAATACAGTAAAAATGCATCTCAGGTTGTCGAGCGCCACGGCAGAGAATGGTGTACCAGCAGCTGCTGCCGCAGGGAAGCTGCTGTAGGCCGGCCAGGCCAGAGGTAGGAAGAATAAATCAATTAAGTAGCTAGCCAGTGCAAACAAAATGTATGTATGTACGTACGTGATGAGTATAAATAAATCACTCCGTAATTAATTAATAATTAGTACTTAATTATGGAAGAATAATTGGCACATTCATTCGTTCCACTATATATATATATATATATATATATATATATATATATATATATATATATATATATATATATATATATATATATATATCAACAACTTTAACATCTATGTGTCATTAATTAGTTTGAAAATTAATTAATTGGCTCATCATTATTAATTCTATTGTTTGCACTCACCAATTCTCAAATTATTAAAGAATTGGCACATTCATTCCACTATAGATATCAACTTTAACATCTATGTATCATTAGTTTGTAAATAGGCAGGCTAAAAGTAACGTCGTAACACACAACTAGCTAGCTCATCAGCAGTAATTCTATTGTTTGCACTCACCAATTCTCAAATTACATGTTAATTTGTGTTAGTTGGGACTTTTATGTTAATTTTAACCATAATTTGAACTATTAGGGAAGAAGAAAATCCTTCATCAGTAAAAGCTAGAAAAGCTTCATTACATTACGGAGTACTATATTATTATATTCTCCCTATATGTTATTAATTACCATCGATCCATTTCTAGCCCCCAAAGAGGCGTATGTAGTACGTGAGTATTCATTAATTTAATTAGCTTCATATCGATCGATCAGCATTAGTTAGTTAATGGTAAGTAGGTAACTATGATCGAGTTAATTGGATGGTGTGTGTGTGTGTATAGTAATTGAATTAGTTAGTACCTGCAGCTGTTTGGGGCGGGGGGAAGTAGCCCAACAGCTGGTTTGATCGTCTTTATCCCCATCACCACCTCTTGGAAGTGTGATTTGAGATAGCTCCTCTTCAACCCTTTTTTGCAGAAGAAAGAATGGTTAAGAATGGCATCGGCAGAGGGCCTTTGTTCAGGATCCCTCGCCAGACACTCTGCCACAAAACTCCCAAACTCCACTGAGAATGACCTCTCCACTTCGTCTTCTTCTCTGCTGGTTATTTCTACTGGTCCTCCCATGAGCATCTTTGCTGGAAGCATCTTGGTCTCTGTTATTCCCCGGATGGTCATTTCCAGTGCTTCACGGTCCGGCCGCACGGTTCCGTATGCCAATTCGAGCGCCGTGATACCCACCAGCCAGATGTCCGATTTCTCGGTGTAGCACTCGTGCGCCTCCGGGGCAGCGGGCAGCTTAGGCGAAGTTGATGAACAGCCCCTCTCCCCTGCAGAAATCCTGCCGTGCTCGTACACCGTCGCCGCAAAGCCCAACTGGATTTGCGGTCCGGGTTTGATGTATATATGTCCGGCGTTGATGTCTCTGTGGAGAGAGTTGGCCCGGTGAAGAAAACGCAGGCCTTTGAGGACGCACCTCAGGGCAACCAAAGCGCAAGCCTCCGGAAGGCCGTCAGGGAACCGTGCTGCCATGGCGGACCGGAGAGAGCCGGGCTGGAAGAAGGGCATGACTAGGCAGAGGTCACCGGTTTCCCTGTCACTGAAGTGTCCAACCAGAGGAACTACGTTCTGATCAAACGACGGCGGCAGGGTCAAGGCGGGATCGGCGGACAGGAGCCTACCGTCGCGGGAGGTCTCGTGGAAAACAGAGTAGGCGCCTAGCCGGTCACACTCTCTGCCGATCAGGCCGTCATACTCCTCCGCGCTTCTTGATATTCCGGACGGGAGCTTATGCCAAACCAGATTCATTCGGTACCCAGGAAGGTTGCCGTTTCTTGAAATGGTCTCTGTGAATTCAGAAAGAAATGACCGGCGCACGATCTTCAAGGCTAGAAATTGGTCAGCGACGAAGCTCCTCTGGCCGGAATTCTCCTCCAAGACGGAGTATGCGACTTTATACACCGGCAGATCGCCGCCGGAGTCTCGGCCAATAATTGGGTCGTCGCCGCCGCCGTGATCCGACATTATCCGGTACACGATTCTTGAATCCCAATTCACGATGTAGCTCCCATGACGACGACGCCCACTACGACTGTAATTCTCCGTCGATTGAACCATTTTCACCCACTAATTGATCGAACTGAAACCCTGGTCGATGAACGGCGTTTCTTGATTTTCTTGGATGGATGGGGGTTTAAAGTTTGAACAGAGAGAGGGAGGAGAGACAGGCTAGACCGCAAGCAAGAAGAAGGCGGGTCTCCGATCAACGTATTAAAATAAAATGAGTATTTTTGATATATAAGTAACGGCTACACTAATACTTTAACCAAGGAGTTATTACCACTTCTTTTTCTCTATTCAATTGATTTATTTTATTGTAACTATAAAATTTAATAATAATAAAAAAGTCCCTCCGTAATATTACAGTTATTATTTCTTTTAGTCTACATTTTATTATTAATGCTGTTATCATCGATCTATTTCAATTAAATTGAAAAAACAAATTGCGAAACAAGAAATAAAAAATGTGAAACACTATACTCAGAACTTAATTTTAATAGAATGATACACTCAAGAAAGGCTTAATTTAACATTCAAAGAAGAAATAAATAATGTGAAACACTGCAAGCTTAATTTAAAAAGAAAAAAATTTATTTTGAGACGACGAATTAAAAAATGAAAATTAATTTATTCATTACTATGGTCTGTAACACATTGTAAGGATAGAACACTACAAAAATAATAGTACGGGATACAACAATTAGATCGAATCAAATCAAAACTTAATAAAATTAATTAAATAAGATTCAAACAGATAAGACAAAGAGAACAAGATGTAAATACCCTTTCACATGAATAAATCATACGCATAAAAATTACTCGCAAAAAAAATCAAGAAACTAAAAGGAAATTAATTTGTTCAAAATTTGTTAAACGCACAACAATTGGAATAGATGCAGATTTTGACTTTTTGTCAAAAAGAAAAGATTTAATTTGAGACAAATTAGAAATGAAAAATATACACAACGCATGTATTAGAGAGTTAATATATAGTGAGTACCATATTCTATAGTTGAGATGTGCTAGGTCTACCGTAGCTCATATACACCAAGGCCCCATTTGGCATCAGCGTCAGAGATTAGCGTTAGCGTTTTGAAAAAGCTATCCGACGGTAGCCTTTAGCGTTAGCGTTTCAGAATTAATCTGCACCGTTAAAATTTTATCCAAAACGCTAACGTTAATCGAAAACGCTGTTATCAAACAAAGCGCAAGTGTGCACAGACATCTCACAGACACATAAAAAAAACACTAACTGGTCTCTACCAGTCGGGGTACGCGGTACACTCAAGTTTCTCCTCTAGTTTGATTAAGATGTTCAAAAATGCTAGGGGTATACTTTAGTGTACCCCAGTTCCCCCAAAGCCTGCTCACCATAGAAATATTAGTTGATAAAAAAAATTAATTAATACTTCCTCCGTCCCATAAAACCTTTCTCTTTTCTTTTTTTATCCGTCCCATAAAACACTTTTCATTTCTATTAAAAAGTCACTTTTACCCCTTACTTTTTCATACCCTACCTATCACATCATACCTTTTTACTAATAATCTACCCATAAAATCCTACTTTTACACATCACATCAAAGGACATTTTTGGAAATTCAATACCAAAATACACTCCCTTAAATCTTTTCAAAAAGCAAAACATCTCATGTTTCATGGGACGGAGGGAGTAGATAATAATTAAATATATGGTTAAACTAGATTCGATAGCATATAAATTAAATAGGAATTGGTGTATCCCTAACATCACTCTAACATGTTTACGGGTTGAAGTGGTTCGAGTGTTGTGGGGTGATACTATAACTCTGGTGTTTAATACCCCATGCACACGTTAAACTTTTTAAACAAAAAAAATAAAGAAATAAAAATTGGTTTTGTATAAGTGTCATATCATGTTGGATAATCTTTTTTTATAGGCGTATGATATAAGCTAAAGCATATTTTATTTAAAATGTTAAATTAAAAATGTTTTGCATTCTTGCTAATGGAATTTTAATTTTATTTCTTTAATTTTTATTTGTAGAATTTAGTCTGAATAAACAATTTCTTAATTTTATTTTACTAAAACAAATTTTAATTTTAGTTTTTTTAGTGAACATTCTAATTAAAGATACTTATATAGTGCACATATGGTGTGTCTTGATAACTACCAAAGAGAAGAACAAAAAAATTAATAACAATTCACATAAACATGTGCGCTAATTGCTATAATATTTTTTTTTGAGAAATATGTTAAAATTCATTTATACTCTTCCTGATATTTCAGCTAATTTGACGGATTTACATCAAGGCGGTAGGTAAGCGGACAACAAGCTGCGCTGCCACCCCTTTTTGGATAGCAAACCCTATTCTACTGAAAACATATTCGTGACTATTCGAAGCCGATACATTGTTGTGAACAACCTTATATTATGAATCCGATCTAAGAAATGCACAGCTTCATGGACTATGGAACCAAAAGTGTCAAATGCAAAAGGAACAAACACGTGTTGATTCTCGGAACAGGCTTTATCATGTTTGTCCACTTTCTTCATCTCAGCCTTCAAAACCGCTTGTCAACCATAAAACCATTACCCCGAAGATCCACAAGGGGAACACGTATGTTTCTCCCCAGCCTATGCAAAAACCAAAACATGCATCAGCAAGCCGCAGGGAGGACCTCTCCTCAAAATAGCAAAATATTACAAAGCAAAATATTATCGTGTTCTCTTGAGTTATGAAAAAAAACACTTGCAAATGGAGAGAAATGAAAGCTTATGTTACCTAGTAAAGATGAAATATTGGAAGAAACCTTAAAAAATACATGGGTCTTAAAAAGAGGACAATGAAATCATAGAGCAAACCAAATAAAATTATCTGGCATCCACTAATGTATATACAAAGTTAATTTTTTTTTTTTTTACACTTTTTGTTTTTACTTCTCTTAAAATAGGCAATGGGATTATATACATCGTATTCAAATGAGGAGTCCATCTAAAAATTGAGAAAAATGAAGAGAACTTCTATACGGAGTCTGAGACTACATATATAACTTAATTAATTAATAATAATAGTGATGCAAAAATACACTAATATTATTAAACAGGCAATAGGATTATAAACATCGTATTCAAATGAAGAGTCCATCTCCCAATTTGGAAAAATAAAGAGAACTTTTGTACTCTCTTTGTCCCAAATTAATCCTCTTTATTTCTTTTTTTACTGTTCCAAATTATTCTTCATCTTTCTTTTTTTTTGGGAAAGTTTTGTGGCCTATTTTTTCCTCTCTTCTCTGCATCACTTTTAACCATACAATTTCATTTTTCTTAAAATCCGTGCAAAGTCAAACTATGAGTATTAATTTGGGAGGGGGGAAGAATAAGACTACATTACTTAATTAATTAGTAATAATAGTGATGTAAAAATACATAAATATTACTCTCTCTGTCTCATTTTAAAATGTCTATTTCAATTTACGATCTTTGACTGAAATATTTTCAAACCATGTTATATAAAAAATAATGTAAACTTAAAAAATAAGAATTGCATGTTTAAAAATTATATAAAAATATCTACAAAACTAGTGGTAACGTGATCATAAGGAATATTATTTTATCAAATGATCAATGAAAATAAAGAAAGAAAGTTAAAAGAGTTTAACTCTATGAATTGTAAACATTTAATTTGAAACCAAAAGAGTATTAATCTCTCAGCCTTAATTCATAACTCGTCACTCTGGCAAATCGTTATTTAGCTTTCTGNGGGCATTTCGAAACACAATGGATGATTTCATATGGAATAATTAGTTAATTAATTAATCAAATATATGTTTATAGGGGGTAATTTTCTAGCCTCAGTATGTCACCAACTACCTTGAATGGCCCCAATGTAATTCTTATTGTGTTCTTTGGTTTATTAGTTATCAATTAGGTCACCGGGAAAAAAAAGATAACAAGGTACCTAACTTATAACTTCATCACTGAAAACATGGTAGCTATTTATCCTGCACTTTTTATCAACCAAAACTGTTAAAAACATCAGTAAAATCTTCAATTACAGTGGTTTGCCATGTTTCTTTCATGCTCAAATCCTGTGCCCGGCAAAGAAAACCAAGCCCCGCGCACATTGTGTCGGCCCATTTCTGTGCGTTAATCTCAACGTTTCAAACCCACCAGGCACAATGGCTGCAATATGCTTCGGAAAATGATGATCTTACAAAGAACCAACCAAACAATCCCTTATGCTTCTGCCACATTTTTAGTCTTAAGAATCTTTTCCTTCTTGTTGCTAGCTTTCTTAGTTGCTTGACCGCCACCATCTTCCTCGCTTTGATCTTCAATCCTTGCAAAAACCGGTTGTGGTTCAGCCACAACCTGGCCCTCCTTCAACCCGCCCCAAGCGGTATGACTCTGGAACAACTAAATTTGTCAATTCTAAAGAAAACAATAAGGGCCCGTTTGGTTCACGTGGCAACGAGTATCGGCCAACAGTATGGGAATCCAAACGGCCCTAAGTAATATTTCTAGTCCAGAATGTTAGAACGTACCCATGAGATAGCATTGAACTGGTCTTTGGTGTAGCCGAGTTGGGTATAAATCCTCAAGCTTAAACTTGGGGTGACAGGAGATAAAGCCACCGCTATGATCCTCACGGCTTCCAATACAATCACAAGATCCTTTATCAAAAGAAAAAGGAAGAGTAAGTACACTATCCAATATGCTATTAATTCTGCTGATTTTCATCAGTCTGCATTTCTTCATGATCTAGTCTAGTTAATTAATGGGATGAAAGGATACCTTGGCTGCAGTTTCAAAATCTGCACCGCCTTTCTTGAAAAGTACCCATGGTGCTTGTTTATCAATATATGAATTCCCTGCATTACCAATCTCTATCACTGCCTCACAGGCCGATGATAGTGCAAGTTTCTCATAATGGCTACGTGTCTTCTCAACCTACAAACAAAGGATATGATTACTTGCTGAATCAAAGTCATTACAACAACAATCAAGCATTATCCACTAGGTGGGATCGGCTACATGGTTCAAACAACACCATGGTGCCCTATGCCCCTATCAGATCAAAGTCATTACATTAAAGTTAATCTAAGGGTCTAAATTGATGAGGTGTTTGGTGCCATCAATGGAAACTACTTTCTACCCTTTGGGCAGAATCTCATTCCCACCTACCCCTATGGCCCAGTGAGCATCCCCTTACTCGTAATATAGACATGCCTTTTAGAGTAAGGATTATAAACATATTCTTGAAGTGAATCCCTTCTCGTGCAAGAAAGAAGAAAACCATTCGCTTAATCTAACAAACAGGTTCTGTCATCAAATTATATGAAAGAATTTCAAAAAAATTCACATAACAAGTGTAGGTGCAAT